AGAGAGAGAGAGAGAGAGAGAGAGAGAGAGTGATGGGATGGTCCGTGGGTGTTCAATTTATTCCAAAGTTTATTCTGGCTTAATACGAATGTGAAAAAGTTTGCAAACCACAAGGGAAATTTTGTAATCTGAAGACATAAAATGATGTTAATTTATTATGCAGTGCGTAAATGAGTGGTTTAAATAAAGACTGGCATTAGCATCTTATTGTTGGTAACACTATTGATGTTTGCTGCATAGCATGGACAACAAAATATTGTGTTCAAAGAACTGATTGCAAATGTGCTTTCCAGTTGAACTGACATTGAATAAAAATGAATGGATTAGTTAAATAGGGGACCACAAACAAAGATGAACATTTAAAAAATGAAATACAATAAAAAAGTGATAATCTTCAGTATACTATTAAAAAGGTATTCGTTATAAAGTACCAACCAAAGAATTACATTAAATTATATTACCGTGTTTCATTGGGATAATGAGTTTGATGCGTAAATGTTATCGAAATTTGACTTGGTAATGAGAATTAAAACACATAAATCATCAAACTCAGGTGGGATTTTTAAATTCAGATTTATATGCACATTTTTAAACCTTAATACGCTTATCCTAAGTGCTGATTTTGATTTATTTATTTTATTATTAACAAAAATCTACTTTTCCACATCTCCACAAAGTAAGTTCAAACTTTTCTTTTCTGATTCCCATTTCCCATCTGGATCTATACACATTTTGTCTATAGATCCAAATGGCTCTCGATGGATGCTAAGAACTAGGATTATATCAAATGTAAATACACAGAATTTGAAAATATTTGCAGCAAATCAAAAGCATAACTTATTTGTCTCACTAGATTTCTGCTGTTCTTTAGCATGTTTGATAGCATGTGGATATTTTCAGAACTGTTTCTTCATTTTATATATTCACTACAACACACGCCAGTCCCACACTCTCTCTGGAGCTTATTATTGTAGTTCTCTAGGAGCAACAAGTACTATTTCCATTAAAATCTAATGACAAATTAATAAAAAGCAGCAGGTTTGGGATCTTCCCTCAGCTGAAAAAAAGAAAAAGGTGAAAAGTCAGTATCGCCCACAACAGAAGGTAAAAATTCAGATTCTGTTATTTGACAGTGTAACCAGTAATGCATACATAAATAACAGCATGTTCTCTGGTGCAAACAGCATCATATGGTAAAATGGTAATCCATCTGCACCACGAGGATAGCAGTGCTTAATTCAGAAGACTCTAATATCCTCACTGTGGAGAGGCATTTAATAAAACAAGTAAATTTATTGCATAACATTCTTACATAACTGTCTGTCAATAGGCCTGTATCATTTATTCATGGTCAGATCAGTAATGAGTACTCATTGCAGCTCTATATTTGACCGCAGTCAATTCGGACTACATCTTCAATAGTTCTTTAAAAGCTTTCATTACACAACTCTCTTCATTCTGACTAATTGCACCATTCTGTGGACAAGCATTTTTGTAAAATGCTAAACTGTATATAATTGGACAATTTCATAGTTGTTCTAGTTTAATATCTATTGTATCACTTAACAATGTCATTTTTTCTTACATAGTAAAACTATTTAAACTGAAATCAATATTTGCTAAAGTAAACTAAACTACAACATAAACAAAATAATGTATTAAAAGATCTAAATAAAATATAGAAAAGCAAATAACATAAAAATAACAATATGAAGAGTATAGAAACTAAACAAAACTGAGCTAAAACTAAACAAAAAATAATAAATAAGAAAGTGAAATAAAAATATGACAACATAAATACAATAAAAATAAAATACATTAAAATAGATTATAAGACAATAACATTTAACTAATAAAGTATAACAAATAAAATTAAAATAAATACATATATTAAAAGTATAAAAACTAAACTAAACTAAAATACAACTTAAACAAAATAATGTATAACAAAATCCAAATAAAATATATAAAATAAAATAAAACTCATATATAAAATAAAACAAAAACAAAATAAAATATTGAATAAAATGTAATAAAAAATTTAATAAAAATAAGACAATATAAAAATTACAAAATCTAAATAAAATAAAATACAACAAATAAAATGAAACTCAAAATATAACAAATAAAATAAAATAAAACAAATAAAATAAATCAATAAATATTAAATTAATTGGTGCACTGACTGATCAATCTGTGGACTGATGGATGTGTGGATGGATTTTACATTTACATTTATTCATTTTGCAAACATTTTATTTTACAGTTGAGAAATACAACAAGCGATATATCATAAGATGGCAATAAACACGAGAAGTGCCCGTTATAAAAGGTTTCAGTCATCGTTCAAAATAGTAAAAGCCAGGACAGGAAGGGATAAAAGAAAGACAGACTGATTTGATTGAATGGTACTGTAGATGAGTGGACGAATAAATTCATTAATTCATTCATAAACTTATTCATTCACCCATTCATTTGTACATTCATAGAATGGATGCCCACCTTAGCATGGCATTCTTCCCATCACTCCTTGTACAGCGCAGTTGCCGTGTCTGATAGCCAATGGTTATTTCCCAGGATACTTTGTGGCCTCTTTCATCATAATGGTTTTGGTGATAATTATTCTCAGTGTGGCGTTTGATGGTGTATGAAGCTTTGACTGTTTTTTTCCCATCAAGTTCAAAACCAAAGTCCACCGTTGTCTTTCCAACAGGCGCTGTCCCTTTAAGTCTGCAAGGACTCCAGGGCCCCACCCACAAACTGTAACTGTATTCCTGTTGGTCAGAGGGACAGAGAGCAGGGTGGGCGTTGTCATGGTTACAGGGATGTGTCTGGGTCAGGCTGGGACAGTCTGCTCCTCCATACAGGGGCGCTGCCAGCACGTGTCTGGTGCGCTGTTGGAGGGCCGACCCGCAGGTGCGGCTGCAGGTGGACCAGTGGGTGAAGGCGGAGACGACACAGTCGATTGGGCAGGGTAACAAACACGCCTGTTCTCGTTCCGGCACTGCAGAAAACGCTTCACACACATGCTGGCTCACCGTGGTGCCGTTAGTACGCTTCACACACACCACACCTCTGTTTTGTACTCCACGCTGAGCGGTCACACATCGATTGGCTGGGTGGAGAGGACTCGGGGTGCAGGGACCCCAAGGAGACAAGCGCCACTCAAACAGATCCTTTTGCCACTCACACATCTTCACACACGCTCTCTGGTGCGGTGGGCGATCAGATGGAAAGCAGTTGGATTGATGTGTGCTCCAGCCTTCAGAATGGACACACCACACCGAGCGACTCTGGAGCCCGACTGAACCGCAATCATTGGCCACACATCCACCCCATACACCTACAGGAAAAGAAAAAAAATGACACACAGGATATGAAGTGAATTATATTAATATTGTCTACTTAAGCCCAAATCAGGCACAGTGATGAGCCTCTATTCATCTCACTTTACCACAGAAATACTGTACATGTGGATTCAGTGACACAAGAAGGATAATCATCTTTAATCATTGTAGAAAAGCACTTTCAAAAGAAATGAGCTGGAAAGAAAGAGAAAGAAAAAAAAAAGAAAAAAATTTGGACAGCGCAGCTTTAAATATCACCTGCTAAAAATATGAAATTGAGATTCATTCTCAAGGTTGCTGCAAATTCATCTCTTTTGGAACTGTGAATAGAATAGAATAGAGTACAATAGAACAGAACAGAACAGAACATTTTAAAGTTTGGGGGCAGTAAGTTTATTTGAAAAATCAGTAAGGATGCATTAAATTGATCAAAAATTACATTCATAATGTTCTAAAATATTTCTGTTTCAAATAAAATATATTTATTTTTAATATTTCCACAATATTAGAGTTTTACTGTATTTTTGTAAAAAAAAAAAACAATAAAAAAAATCAGCCTTGGTAAGCATAAAAGATTTCTTATATACCAATACCAAGATTGAAAATACAATAAGATAAGATAAGATGTGACAGTAAAGACATTTATAATGTTTAAAATATTTCTATTTTCAAATAAATTGCGTTCTTTTAATATTTTTGCAATATCAGTGTTTTACTGTATTTTTAAAAAATGTGGCCTTGGCAAGCATAAAAGACGTCTTTCAAAAACATTTTAAAAAATCTTCCTGAACCCAAACTTTCAAATTGTAGTGTTCATAATATATATATCATATTTGACAGTTTGACAGTTTTGGAGTTTGACCAACATCATCACTACCTTTGTATGGAAAAGAGTTGCTTCAAAATTCAAAGTTCACAGGACTGAAATAAAATTATTGAAATTTTTGAGTAACTATACCTAAACAAGTCCTATAAAGTAAAAAAAAATCACACATCTCAAAAATGTGTCTCAAAAAAGAACACATCCCAAAGTAATAATTCAAAGTAATAATTCCAGTGTTTTAACACTATATGAATACTGTTTGCCTTAGTATAGTGGTAATTCTATAAGCGCCCAGGAATAATGTCTATTTAATAATTTCTATTTAAACCAAAAGTCTAAATTTGACCTACATTTGAACTAGTTTTACAGTTGTTTCCGACCTCTCAGTCATAAAAAAATAATATTTTTTTGATAATTTATGTTAAATTGTACCTGACAACCTAGTGATAAACATTTAAATTCAAAAGCAGCAAAACTTGCCACCTGTTACAACTGCTTCCATTATCTTCTATTAGAAATAAGGCGACATAAAGAAAAAGAAGCGATGGGAACAGAGAGAGGAAAAGCAGAGGGGACAGATGCTTCAAACAGACAGTAAAAGTCTGACATCATTGCTGTTGTTCCTCAGGGGATGTCAAAGGCCATGTTCTCCTCATCTCACCATTGGTGAGGTCACCAAAGAGACCTGCCATTCTCCAAATGCCACCTAATGCACAACGCAGCAGACAAAAACCATGTGACAGAGACATATGGGGTGACCATTACTGTATGAGTACTGAGGTCAGCCAAAACCCTCCAGTCAGAGTCGAACACACATTTGATCATTAGACTGTCGGTCCTCACAGCGTGCTAATTACTGCTCGTGCGCTCATCCTCCTTAGTCAAATATCAATTTACTCAGAGGCAGGGGGTTCAGGTAAAACTTTAACCGCAGAGGCCTGTCCTACAGAGATCTCCCGGCTAATCAGGATTCTGATGGATGGCATGCTGATTAAAGACTCTAGATGTGGGAATAATTGCTTTGAACTGAGGCGATGAGAGAAAAAGCACCAGGAAAGAGATTTTTGTTGTTGCTGTTGTTGCTGCATTGTTCTCTGTCTGAATTCAAATTTTTGGGGAGGAAAATGGAAAAACAAGGGAAATGTGAAGCTTTTAACCCTGGTGAGTGGTACGTTTACTCAAGCCTTTCTAGTGGAAGATAGAGTAAACCATATTACCAGAAATGCAGATCTATATTCATTTATTTTTTCATATCCTTATGAAGATTATATATCGATTTGGTTTACATACGCTAGTATTTAGAAGCTTGGGGTTTGTATGATTTTATAATGCTTTTTTAAAATAACTTGCTCACGCTATTTGATCAAAAATGCAGTAAAAACGGTAATATCATAAAAGTTATTACAATTGAAAATAACTATTTCCTACCGTAATATACAGGGCCCTATCATACACTTGGCGCAATGTGACGCAAGTGTTTTTTGCTAGTTTCAGGCCGACGCATTAGTCATTTTCACATCCTGCGCCACATTATTTAAATAGCAAATGCATTTTCGCCCATTTGTGCGCATATTGGCGTGCTGGTCTGAAAACGAGGTGTGCGCAATATTTATTTATTTTGTTATTTAAAGAGCGAGTTAGTAATATGCACCTATAGGCGGGTGCACAATGCGCGTACACTTTGCTTTTTACACACACACAGGTATGCGCAGCAACACACAAACATTTTTAAAAATGAAAAATTAAAGGATTAAAATGTAAAAGATTATTATTGTGTACATAAATATAAAAATGCCTACATGTCATAATGGATAGCCATTGTATGTATCAGAATTACGCGCACAAGCAGATCCGTTCCCTCGCTAGAGAAGCATTCAGTTTTTCCGCTTGTAAATTAAAAAACAGTATTTTAAAATACAAGTAATTTATTCTTGTAATGTCAAAGCTGAATTTTCAGCATCATTACTCCAGTCTTGAGTGTCACATGATCCTTCAGAAAAAAATGATCTGGTGATCAAGAAACATTTCTTATTATTATCAATGTTGAACAGTTGTACTGCTTAATATTTATTTTTTATTTTTTTTGTGAAAACTGATTTTTCAGGACTCTTTGATGAATAGAAAGCTCAAAAGAACATAATTTAAAAAATATATACAGTGGGCACAGAAAGTATTCAGACCCCCTTAAATTTTTCACTCTTTGTTATATTGCAGCCATTTGCTAAAATCATTTAAGTTAATTTTTTTTCCTCATTAATGTACACACAGCACCCCATATTGACAGAAAAACACAGAATTGTTGACATTTTTGCAGATTTATTTTAAAAACAAACAAATAAAAAGTATATATACATAAAGACCTTGTGTTTTTATGCTAACATGCAGCTATTCTTTTAACCAGTGGAGAACACAATTCATCATTAATTGCTTTTTTTCTAAGTATGACCATGAGAACGAATTTCTAATGAAGTAAGAAAATAAGAAATTTTAGGGGCCATTTACACGACACCATCTTCAACTAAAAACGGAAAACTTTTTATGTGTTTTGGCCGTTCATTTACACAACAACATCATTTTTGGGGCCTGAAAATGCTAACTTCTGAAAACAGGTTTCAAAGTGCAAATTTTCGAAAATGATACAATTAGTCTCCATATAAACTACAAAAATGCAACTTTGTGAAAACCGTGAAGTCATGTGCATGCATATTACGTGTTCGTGTTGAATTTCATTACAAAGTGACATTGCCAAGTACTGGTCTGGCATGCATAATACATTTTCGCAGATCCATGTGAATGGGGATCATTTTGACAACGTTGTCATCTGTACGCAAAAAACACAAAGGAAAAACTTTCCATTTTTAGTACATCGTTGTCATGCAAACCTACCCTTATTTAAATTCTAAAATAATTACAGTGGATACATGTAGTATTTGAAAATGTAAGCCACAATTAAACATGTATGAATTGCACCACATTATACAGCAAACAATAAAAAAAAATCAAACCAATGTGGCTATTTTGTCAGACATGCCTTGTTTTTGAGCATCTACTGTTGCATTAATACACTGTGTCATGTTAAAAGTAGTTCTACTTCATCTAAATGTTTTTGAATGCAAGAACACATCTTACGTAAAGGCTCTCTAAGAAACTGACGTCTGATCAGGGACAAATGAACCTGAAACCAGTCTAATTAAACAGGGCTTTCCTAAGAGCAATCCGTCAAATAATTCAGGCAAACCAGGTGATTTCTAAAAATGTAATTTTTAAACACACAGACACACACACACACACACACACACACACACACACACACACACACACACACACACACACACACACACACACACACACACACACACACACACAAAATCACCCTCAGCTGTGACAAGCTTCTTCCAACTTTCTTTCAGACTGACTTGTATGTCTCACAGGGAGTTCATCTCCCGCCGTCTCTCATGTGGTCATCACTGAAACGCAGCAGGCAGGCGGAGAGAAACAGAACTAAGATACGAGCAGGACCCTGTCCCGTGGTGTCACAGCAACTTAAAGCTGTGAGATGGGATGAGGTCACTCGCAGGGCATCGCAAGCAAAGTCACTGTTGGCAAGATCGGGAGAGGTTTTACTCAATTTTGGCAGCACAAAGACAGAGATACAGTTTGAACTATGATATCTTATCTGGTAGAATCCACATTATCAATTTCTATTAACTTGGAAAAAGCAAATTTTGAGTGAAAATTGAAATTGGTTTTCATTCCCGTAGGCTTTTTCCCCAGCCAAAACCCATCGGCATCCACTGCTGAATATATTTCATTGGCACCAATCAGAGGCTTTGGTTCAAACACACCCGAGACAGGTTATTTTTCACTGTTTAAATTTTCAAAAGTTTTAATCACCCACAACACAGAGTTCCCTCTATGGTGGGATTCCTCAGTGACTGTACTTCCATGATGAAGACCTCCGGCAATATGGAGGCTGCAAACAACAGCACTCTACTGCTATATCACCTCAAAACAGCATGCTGAAAACAGCTCGATCTATTGGTTTCTATTTTTTCCCCCAGGCAATCTAATCATTGACCTTAGCGTAGTTAGCGGCAGACTCTGAGATGAAGTCTTCTCCAGCCTGAAAAACACAGAGCTAACTTCTGTGGAAAGTTCTTCAGTACACAGATTTTACCCTGTG